CAGTCCCCTTTCTACCTGAACTATGGGCAAAACCCTACAGTGCCCATGACGCCGAGTCCGGACAACCCAACGCCGCGTGCACAGCAATTCGCTGAAATTCTGCAAGCTGCCCGCACCAGAGCCGCTGGAGAAATTAAAATAGCCAACGTCATCGCTAAACGCAACGCTGACCGCCACCGCCGCTCAGTCACGTATCAGTCAGGGGATTACGTACTGCTCGACACACAGAACTTAAGACTGCCCGTCGTACCAAAATTGCGACCCCACTACTGTGGACCATTCCAAATCAGCCACATGATTACCCCGGTGACAGCCCACCTCCTGTTGCCGACGGACTGGAACATCAGCCCTTCGTTCCACGTCAGCCTGCTTCGCCCATACATCCCAACCACAAGCCAACTGCCTCGTCACCGCCCGCCATCCATGACTCGCCCTGCATCGGAGCCGATCATCGAGCCCAAAAAAATCCTGAGCCATCGGATTCGACACCACACGGGAATTAGGATGATTGAATTCCTCGTTCGCTGGAAGGATCGCGCGCCAACTGAGGATAGCTGGGTGCCCCTGGCCAACATCGAAAACCACCCTGCCCTGCAAGTGTACCTGAGGAGCCGGGGTTTCTGCGATATACACGCACTCGCGTTGCGGAGGGGGCTTCTTGAGGGGGGGGGTAGTGTAAGGAATTTTCTCGATATTCCTTAGCGCGCCCTGCAACATCGCGTACAGCAGCAGCCGTTGTTCGCCCGTTACTGCTAACGGGGCTTCGCCGACTTCGCGCGCACTGTTTTCCCAAACCTCGCATTGCTGGACCGGCCGTGTCGGCCTACGCTTCGGGACTAGCCCGAGCCTCGCTTCCAGCGTAGCACTAGCTAGCTCGCACGCACCGCGTTACCGTTTGCATGTTTCGAGCATAAATGTTCGCTCATGCCTTCGCTCACATTTTGTACTCATTTGACACCTTAGTGCAATTCTCGCTACTTCGATTCATCGCACCCGTAACACTACCCCACTATGTCGCTCAAGGGGAGTACGACGAGTCCACTGGGACAAGGAAAGGGACTCAACAGGGGGAACAGGAGGGGACGGTAGGGGACCACGAACAAAGCGTGCAGGTGCTGGGTCGGGGAGGTCGTGTAGTCGCAGTCGGTGCTGCTCCGCCTCCTCTGGCGTCTGCTGCGACGGCACCAGCCCCTGCTGCTGCTCCTGTGGCTCCGCCTCTGCCCTCTCCTGCTGCGACTGCAGCTGCACCCGCTGCTGCGAGCGGGACTCCTGCGCTACCCTCTCCTGCTGAGGTCGTGACTCCTCCTGTACTCTCTCCTGCTGGGTCTGTAACTGCACCTGCTGCTGCGGGCTGGACTCCTGCTCTACCCTCTCCTGGTGCGGCCGTGACTCCTCCTCTACCCTCTCCTGCTGCGGCTGCAGCTGCACCCACTGCTGCGACCGGGACTCCTGCTCTACCCTCTCGTGCTGCTGCTGTGACTCCTCCTCTACTCTCTCCTGCTGCTGTAGCTGCTGCTGCTGCTGTTGCTACTGCTGCTGCTGCTGCTGCTGCTGCTTCTGCTGCCGCTGCTGGTGCTGCTGCTGCTGCTCCTGCTGCTGCTGCTGCTGCTGCTGCTGCTGCTGTGCCCTCTCAAACCGCTCACGCTCCTCCCTCTCCAACCGGAGGAGACGCTGCTCACGGGTCAGGAAACGTACAGTGCGAGGTGTAGGCGCCACAGTGCCAGTGCCTCCAGCTCCAACACTACCAGAACAGCACCTCCACTAGCGACACCCCCGAGGCCTCCAGTACCTCCCGTAGGAGCACCTCCAAGCTCCGCAGCAACCGGCCGCAGAGGAGAACGAGGAGGGAACTGCGGGACGACCGGGAAGCCGGGGGGTGACGAGGGGCGAGGCCGCCGACTCGAGGCTGCCGTGTCCTCCACAGGAATGACCTCCACGCCCACACCCACTGCACCCCCTGAACCGACACCACGAGCTCCTGCAGCCCCAGCACCCGCACCCTCCGCAACTGCACCTCCCGCACCCCCAGACACGACAGGGACTGGACGCTGCGGGGGGGACGACTGCGGAGTGACGTGCGACACACCTGACGGGGCAGGACGCGAAGCGGGGGGGGCTACCGGGGCGACTGGGGGGGGCTCAAGGGTGAGGAACAGCGGGGGGGAAAAGACCTCAGTACCTCGGTGGGGGCGACTCTTGTAGTAACAGACAGACTCGTCGAATGTGACGTCCTGAGAAGCGAAGAACCCGCAGGTGACCGGGTCGTAGAACACCCAGCCGGAGGCGTCCAATGGGAAGCCAAGAAAGACGCAAGCACGAGTGCGCGGAGACAACTTGTTCGCGCCAGGTGTGAGGTCAGTACAGTCGCGAAAGAAACAGCTGGACGCTCCAGAATCTAGGGTGAAGGAAAGCTGTGCAGTCTGTGGGGTCGCACCCGAACCAGCTACAAAGGCTAGTGCTAGACTAGTGGTAGCTGCAGCTCCTACACAAAGACCCTCAGAGGCGCCTGGACTGGAAACAACACACGCACCAAGACTGGAAACACAGGTCTCTACTCGTGCAGCCGAAAAAGGTCCTAGACCAGGTAGGTGAGACTCAACTGGTGGAGTAGTGCGCTGGCGAAGGCGCGAAGGCCAGTGCGGTGTAATAGCGTGAGGACCAAAACGCTCACGGTGGAGGTCGTCGAGTCGACGGTAGCAGCTGGACGCAGTGTGGTCAGGACTCCAGCAGGTAGTACCAGCACCAGGGCCTGTCAGGGCCCGGTACCTACAGGGGCCGACGTCTCACCCACTGCTAGCTGAGCCACTACTGGGGGCGCCACACTTTGGACCCGCAGGCCCCCACTGACGGGAGTGCTGTGGCCGGCCCTGCTGCTGTAGAACCCTAGTACACGCCATGAGAGCCTATGCTGCTGCTGGTTCTGCTGGGGGCAGCCTAAGCTGCTGCTGGTGCGCTGGGGGCAGCCTGTGCTGCTGCTGGTGCGCTGGGGGCAGCCTATGCTGCTGCTGGTTCGCTGGGGGGCAGCCTATGCTGCTGCTGGTGCGCTGGCGGCAGCCTATGCTGCTTCTGGTTCTGCTGGGGGCAGCCGACGCTGTTGCTGGTGCGCTGGGGGCAGCCTGTGCTGCTGCTGGTGCGCTGGCGGTAGCCTAAGCTGCTGCTGGTGCGCTGGGGGCAGCCTATGCTGCTGCTTGTTCGCTGGGGGCAGCCTATGCTGCTGCTGGTGCGCTGGCGGCAGCCTATGCTGCTTCTGGTTCTGCTGGGGGCAGCCTACGCTGCTGCTGGAGCGCTGGGGGCAGCCTGTGCTGCAGCTGGTGCGCTGGCGGTAGCCTAAGCTGCTGCTGGTGCGCTGGGGGGAGCCTATGCTGCTGCTGGTTCGCTGGGGGCAGCCTATGCTGCTGCTGGTGCGCTAGCGGCAGCCTATGCTGCTTCTGGTTCTGCTGGGGGCAGCCTACGCTGCTGCTGGCGCGCTGGGGGCAGCCTATGCTGCTGCTGGTGCTGCTAGCGGCAGTGTAATCGGCTGGGGCTACTGGCGGCGGGTGTGGCAGCTCGTGGGGAGGCGGGTTTCAGGTGGGGAAGCTGTTAAGGCAGCAGGCTACGGGTGGGGAAGGTGAGGCGGCGGTTCTGTGCGGTTCTGTGCGGTTATGTGCAGTTCTGTGCGGTTCTGTGCGGTTCAATGCGGTGAAGAGGACTGGGTGGGGCGGCTGATCCCGGGTGAGGTGCCTGGAACGGGTGGGGCAGCAGGTTTCCAGGTGGGGCGGTGGTTGTCAGGTCTGGGGCGGCGGTTTTCAGGTGGGGAAGCTGTTAAGGTAGCGGTTCTGTGCGGTTCTGTGCAGTTATGTGCAGTTCTGTGCGGTTAATGCGGTGGAGAGGACTGGGTGGGGTGGCTGATCCCGGGTGAGGTGCCTGGAACGGGTGGGGCAGCAGGTTTCCAGGTGGGGCGGCGGTTGTCAGGTCTGGGGCGGCGGTTTTCAGGTCTGGGGCAGCGGGTCTCCAGGTTCGGCGGGGGATTTCAGGTCTGGGGGCCGGTTACGATGGTGGGCTGCACGTGCGCGCGGCTACGACGTACTAGCGCGGAGCTGCGGGTGCGACTAAGGCTGCGCGCGCAGCTACGCGCGTTCGTCTGCTGCGCGCTAGAGGGCTGGGGGGCAACACGCGGGGTAAAACGAGTGGGGCGCGGGGCAGAAAACCGAGTGACGCACGGCACAAACGGGTGGGGCGCAGGGCAGAAACGGGTGACGCGATGGCGACGGGGGGGCGCGACCTACTCGGGCTCTACGGGGCAGGGCGCTTCGGGCTATGGGTCGCTACGAGGCGCGCGGCTGGCGCGGCTATCGAGAGAAATTTCGCCTAGGGGAAAAATCGCCTAGGGGAAAAATCGCCTACGGGAAGCCTAGCTCTATACCATGTTAAGATAAGAATGAAATTGATAGAAAATGTGAAGTACAACCCTAGATATAGCAAACCCTAATCATGCAAGGAAGTAGAAATGTAACACATAGACTAACCTAAACAACATATATACAATTTATGTTGACACGTCTCACTCGGTGTGCGACCGCGGGACGTTGGAGAAAATTGGAGAATCTTCGGAGGAGACCAAGTTCACGGCAACGATGGTAGACTGTACGAAACTTCCCATCCACGGCGAAGCATCACTGCAGCTTCACATAGGGGCACTGAGGTGGAAGCCGACGTTGCCGATCACGAACGTCAAGGGATCAGATTTCATCTTGGGGCGAGATTTCTTGAAGCGGTTCAACCCCGAGATCGACTGGGTCAACGGGAAGGCGTGCATCTACAACAACGGGAAACGAGTGGAGCTGCGAAGCTGGACGGATACAGGGAGCGTTCCTGAAACGACACTGGCACGGTTCGAACGGACGGTGAACGAGAGTAACACGGGCTACTTAGCACTGGTTATGGCAGCAGCAGAGGAGGAGAAGCTGAGTACGGAGCTACCTGCAGCAGTGAAGGAGGTCTTGGAGCAGTACAAAGATATAATGCCCGACGACCTACCCGCAGGCGTACCTCCAGCACGCACCCACGAGCACGAGATCGTGGAGGAACCAGGTGCGAAACCCGTCTCACGTGCACCATACCGACTGAGTCCGACCGAACTGACAGACATGAAGAAACAGATAGAGTATCTACTGGACAGACAACTGATCCGCCCATCCACCTCTCCCTACGGTGCACCAGTCCTCTTCACTCCAAAACCAGACGGCAGTTTACGGATGTGCATCGACTACCGCGCACTGAACAAACAGACAGTAAAAAACAAATACCCCATACCGCGCATAGACGACCTACTGGACCAACTGCGTGGTGCAACTGTCTTTTCGAAGCTGGACCTACGGTCGGGTTACTGGCAGATCAAGATGGCGGACAACTCGATCCACAAGACGGCGTTCCGTACCAGATACGGCTCCTACGAATACTTGGTGATGCCGTTCGGACTCTGCAACGCACCAGCAACGTTCCACGCGGAAATGAACCATATCCTGCGGCCCCTGTTGGACGAGTGCGTAGTTGTGTACCTGGATGATATCCTCATCTACTCCAAGAACATGAAGGAGCACGTGGAGCATCTGCGGAAAGTCTTCGAGATCCTGCGGAAAAACAAGTTCTACGTGAAGCTATCGAAGAGCGACTTCGCCCTGAAGAAGGTGCAGTTTCTCGGGCACATGGTGAGTGCCGAGGGCGTACACGTGGACCCGCGGAAGATCGAAGCCGTCAAGAAGTGGAAAGTACCGGAGAACGTGAAGGAGTTGCAGCATTTCCTAGGCTTCGCCAACTACTACAACAGGTTCGTGCCGCAGTATGCTAAGATAGCAGCGCCACTGACCGACCAACTGAAAAAGGATACGCCCTACAAATGGGATACTCCTCACCAGCAAGCCATGGAGCAGCTACAGACAGCACTGACCACAGCCCCAGTACTCATCTTACCGGATCCAGACAAGGACTACGTGGTGGAAGCAGACGCTAGTGACCACGCAGTCGGAGCAGTACTGATGCAGGATCACGGACGCGGTTTGCAGCCCATCGCCTACCTCAGTAAGAAGCTACACGGAGCAGAACTGAACTACCCCATCCATGACAAGGAAGCCTTAGCAATAGTCATAGCCTTCAAGGCGTGGAGGTGTTACCTAGAGGGAGCCAAGACTACAGTCTATACTGACCACTGCAGCCTCAAATACCTGAAGTCGCAGCCTACACTTTCACGACGACAGGTGCGGTGGGTGGACTTCCTGGAAACTCACTTCCACTACGACATCATCTACAAGCCTGGACTACACAACAAGGCAGACGCGTTGAGCCGCCCCGGACATGTAGCAGGCATCCAGCTCGACGGGATGAACCCTCTGCTCAAGGGTCTATTCCAACATGGGTACTCCGTGGACGCAGAGATCGCTACAGCACAGACTAAGAAGCTGTTACAGTGGGAGAAAGACTTAGCTGTAAGGAAGGGTTCAGGAAAGATTTGGGTACCGAATTACGCCCCGCTACGGCAGATCCTCTTGGAGGAGTTTCACGACGTACCTTACGCGGGACATTTCGGGAGCAACAAGACGTTAGCAGGGATAGCAAAGTATTACTACTGGCCGGGGATGGCAGCAGACGTGCAGCAGTTCGTCACCTCATGCGACACGTGCCAGCGGATGAAGAGCAGCAAGCAGAAAAAAGCAGGGTTACTTCAGCCTCTACCCGTACCGGAGCAGCCATGGCAGGTCATTAGCCTCGACTTCATCACAGGACTTCCTTCGACCTCACGGGGGCACGATTCCATCCTCGTAGTGATCGATAAGTTCTCCAAAATGGGTCACTTCATACCGACCAACGCCACAGCTACAGCTGAAGCAACTGCTCGCCTCTTCTTTGACCGCATCATCACCATCCACGGGATCCCCGCTACACTCATCTCAGACAGAGACCCCAAATTCACCAGTAAGTTTTGGAAGGAGCTCATGGGACTGTTGGGGACAAAACTTGCGATGTCCTTAGCATACCACCCACAGACTGACGGACAGACCGAGCGACTCAATCAAGTGGTTGAACAGTTACTGCGCACAGCTTGCAAATACGATGTCAGCCACTGGGACACACAGTTACCGACCCTAGAGTTCGCTTACAACAACGCGTCACATGCGGCCACAGGGAAAACTCCTTTCTTCCTGTGTTACGGACGGGAACCACTTACACCACAGCAGCCAACCACACCGGCACACGTCCAAGCCGCACATGACTTCGTCACCACCATGCAGCAGCTATGGGAGAAGACGCAGCGATGTCTCACCACGATGCAGACCTCCCAGAAGCAGTATGCCGATCGCCAGCGACGTGATCACTCAGTAGCAGTCGGAGATCAGGTGCTTCTTGACACGCGCAACTTGAACCTGTCTCACCTCCCATCTAAACTCCGGCCTCGCTTCTGTGGTCCTTTTCTCGTTGAGGCACAGGTGACACCAGTAACATTCCGCTTGCGCTTACCAGATACGTGGAAGCTTCACAATGCTTTCCATATTCAGCTACTGAAACCCTAAAAGGACCCCAATCAACAGTTCCAGGGACGGCAGCTACCGCCACCACCACCTGTTCTCATCCAAGATGAACTTGAGTATGAAGTGGAGCGCGTTCTCTCTCATCGACGCCGCGGCGGCAAGACCCTCGAGTTCCTGCTATGCTGGAAGGGATATGACCCCACTGAGGACAGTTGGGTTGCAGAAGCTGCTATGGGCAACGCACGCCGTGCTCTCAAGGACTATCTTGTCAAGCAGGGTGTATCTCACGCCACCTAGCTTTGAGGGGGGGACGTGTGAGAGTACGACGGCTTATGCTGGCTTTGCTAACTTGCCTAGACTTTATTATGCTATATCTAGCTTGAGTTTTATTTATCATGCATAGATATGCTTGATTTCCTAGGTTAGGTGCATTCCTATATTTTATTATAGTTATAGCACCGAACCAGGTTACGTGTACCGAACTCAAGCCTATTCGGTTTCCACCGAATTGCTTTCTACTGAGTTCGGGAAGGGTCTGTTCGGGACGCTTCGCGACCCTCAGAACCTTCGTGTAACACCTGGTTACGGGGCCTTGTGTCGAGCCTATATATAGCCTCGTGTTGTACCCACGTGATCAATTCAATTCAAACTCTCTTTTCTGAGCTCGATCCTAGATCCTCACAACACCGAAAGGTGCACTGAGATGTTGCGAAGAGGGTACTGCGTAACTTGTGCAGTACATCGGGCATGGGGCTCGTGCTCGGAGGACGGGGTTCAGTGGTACTCACAGACACTTCGACACTTCTTGGGCCGACGACTAGGCGACTCAGCGTTCGTCACAGGGTTACACCTTCAGTCTTGGCTTTTGTTCTGTCTCGTGAAGGTCCACTCGTTCTTCTTTTGTGCTTGGTTCCAGCTGTGAGGCCAAGATCTATGCTGGGGCTATGGCTGCACAGGAGCTACGCCGGTTGACCTACTTGCTGACCGACTTAGGGAAGCGGCCTTGTTCTCCTCCAGTCCTGTACGTCGACAACAAGGCCATGCTTGCCTTGTCTTAAGAGCAGAGACTGGAGCACAGAACGAAGCACATTGCTCTTCGCTACTTTCTTGCTCGAGAGCTGCAGCACTCTGGCCAGATTCGCCTTCCCTACGTGGCCTTCCGGGCCAGCACTGCTGATGTCTTCACCAAGGCCCTTGGGTCTGGTGATCATCAGCGTTTTTGCACTGCTCTTGGGCTTCTGCCTGTTTTGCCTCACTTGCTGGTTGCTTGACTTGTCTTGTACTGTGATATATATATATACATATATAAATATATATATACCCGCATGCTTGCTTTGCTAGATTGTGATGACTGTACTGCTTGTGCTTTTATAACTCTGCATGTGGACTGGCCTTGTGGCCGCTTGCTTGTGCTCAAACTGCATGGTGATCTTGAGATCCACCCTGGGCTTTGCTTTGTTTGCATCTCCTGACTGGTCTTGTGACCACTGTTTGGTTTGGCTATATCCCCCACATCACATATGGGGGTGTGTAAAAACATTATATGCTTTCTATCTTTCTAGCCTATGCAGGGGTTATCCTTAGAGGGAAAACCACATTTCTCGACACTCTTGTACACCCCCCTTAATCGATCATCCTTCTCACTAGATTCTAACAATTGAGAGCAAATAGGCAGGCCATCTGGGAGGCAGGCCTTGGTGAGGCAGAAACAGAAACAGAATGTGAATAAATTCCCACGAGTTCAGCCACCTCCAACTTACACTCTCCAATGAAATCTGGTCTAGTCAACGGGTAGGCGGGTTTGAGTCGACCCAAAGCTCAGCTGCTATGTCGCCCACCACTGCTGCACCCACCTGCCACTCGCACCCACCCTCTCATCTTATCTGGTCAAGTCAAGCAGAGGCAGACGTAGAGCTGAGTTGCCTCACCGCCTTACTGAGGCCACTGGCTCTGACGATGCTGCCTCACCTCCTTAGAAGGTGGTTCTAACGAGCATAACTGGCTGCCATGCGTGCACATGACAGCTAACATATGAAAAGCATGCCTTGTGGCATGACTCACAAGCACCTGGCACCTCTTTTTGAGTCAGCTCAAAAATAGGCTCCTCACAAACGGATTATTTGTTGAGAGAATTTTTTGTTCTTGGATGATTGGGTGTTCTTTGTTGAAGCTGTTGGTGCATGCGCAACCACCAGATATGTTGCGCGGCGAAGGTTTGGACCAAACTACCAATGAAGACACCCTTGAGGACTGAAGATGTGGCTTCTTGGTGTTTACCAGGGCGGCCTGGATTTGTCACCTAAATTTCGGGGTTAGCCAGGGTGTATGTATCCTTGAGTTTGTTTTCATGGAGGTGTTAGCTTTTCTTTCAAGGCTTCTGCTTCGATCTGTTTTCGTTTTTATTCTTGTCAGCACTGATGAAGGCCCGAAAGATTATTCCCTTCGGCCGAAGCATGTTTGCTCCTTTCTTCTAGTTTTTGTTAACAGTTTCACAAGCTCTCGGTGACAAGCTAATCTTCTAGTTTTTACAAACTGCCTTTTCCTACTTGCTCTGACGCAGGTGCTGCTCACTGGAAGAATATCCGTAGATCTCCATGACTCACAAGCACGCCTTGTGGCATGACTCACAAGCACCTGACACCTCCCGACCAACCATGTGTACAGAGCGATCCACCTGGCCGGACTGCACGATTGGAGCAGTGTGCGGAATCTACCAGGCATGATTCAGCCTGGAATGATTCAGCCTGGCATGATTCAGCCTGGCATGATTCAGCCTGGCATGATTCAGCCATGCATGATTCAGCCTGGCATGATTCAGCCTGGCATAATTCAGCCTGGCATAATTCAGCCTAGCATAATTCGACCTGGCATAATTCGGCCTGGCATGATTCAGCCTGGCATGATTCAGCTCACCCAATAAAGGCACATCACTCACCCGATGAATGCATTGCACTCACCCTCTAGGCCCAAAGAGGCTGCTAAAAAAACTGTGTGTGAGGCACGGTAGTGGGGGGTGGTGGGGAGGAGAGAGGGAAACATGGAGGGGCAAGGAGTGAGCAGGCAAGCAGGAGTGGTGTTGGCTAAGCTGGGTGTGAGGTGGTGGGGGGGGACTGGCTTTTAAGTCGACGCAAAAGTCACCTCGACTCGAAAGTCACCTCAAAAGTCACTTTGTTTTGAGTCGACTCAAAAGGAGTGGTGTTGGCTAAGCTGGGTGGTATGTGAGGTGGTGTAGGGGGACTGGGGGGAGAGAAGCATACGGATCGAGCGGGACAGGAACGGCAGGTTAGCGATTGTAGCCAGGAGTGTCAAACAAAGTAGTGAGAGTGTGAAGTGAAGAGGGTTAGACTTGCATACAGGAGCACACACTTGAAGTTGAATAGGAAAAATTAGTCTTGTATAGTAAGCCTGAACAGTCGACTTTTGAGATGTCTCAAAACATGAAGTTGAATAGGTTAAACCAGTCTTGTATAATCCTGAACTTGCATAGCAGCCTTATACAGGTGTGCAGCTTTATACAGGACTGACAGATCCTCTTTTGAGAATTCTTAAACGCCACACTGGGGCTGACCTGAAAAGAGCCGATCCAACCACAGTGGTCCCAGCGGTGCAAGTACACATTCTTGATGAAACCGCACCGCACCCCACCGCACCGGTCAGATCACCACCAAACCCCAACCCGCACCGTACCACATGCCACTCGCTACAACATTTGCCACTGCATGCCACTGCACCGCCCCGCACCACTCACCTCACCACACCCACATGCTACTGTACAAGGTGTCAAATGATATATGCGCTATATATGTTTAGGCTGTAGTGGGGTAGCCAATATGGGGTACAGCCCCCTCTAGGGTTTCACATTTGTACCCAACTCTTTCATACTGCATTCATTCCTGCTACTAGATTCTAACATGGTTTCAGAGCACTAGGTCCGTAGGACCGTTTTTTTTTCCGGGCCCACCTACCGTTGCGGTTACCGCGCTACCCCACGTGTTGTCCTGCGTGCGCCTTCCCCTGCCTTGCCTTGTGACGTGCTGCGCTGTGCGCGCCGTCCTGCAGCCCTCGCGCTGCCTACTGTTGCCCTAGCTACGCGCGCACCGCCCTGCAGACCCGTAAGGCCAGCGCGCCGCCCCTGCAGGCCCGTAAGACCAGCGCGCCGCCCCTGCAGGCCCGTAAGGCCCGCGCGCCACCCGTGCAGGCCCGTAAGGCCCGCGCGCCGTCCCTGCAGGCCCGTTAGGCCCGTGAGCCGCCCCTACAGGCCCGTCAGGCCAGAGCGCCACCCCGCCCTGCAGCCGATGCGGCCCCGCCAGGCCGCTGTCGCGGCACCGCCCTGCCGCTGACCCGGCCCCGCCCTGCCGCTGACGCGGCCCCGCCCTGTCGCTGACGCAGCCCCGCCCTGCCGCGGTTGCGGCCCCGCCCTGCCGCCGACGCGGCCCCGCCGCGTCGCTGTCGCGGCCCCGCCCTGCCACCGACGCGGCCCCGCCAGGTCGCTGTCGTGGCCCCGCCCTGCCGCTGACGCGGCCCCGCCCTGCGGCTGACGCGGCCCCGCCCTGCCGCCGACGCGGCCCCGCCCTGCCGCTGTCGCGGCCCCGCCCTGCCGCCGACGCGGCCCCGCCCTGCCGCTCTCGCGGCCCCGCCCTACCGCCGACGTGGCCCCGCCCCGCCGCTGTCGCGGCCCCGCCCTGCCGCCAACGCGGCCCCGCCTGGCCCCGCCCTGCCGCCGACACGGCCCCGCCCTGCAGCAGCTGCCGCGGCCCTCCCCTGCCGCTGTCGTGGCCCCAGCCCTGCAGCTGACGCAGCCCTGCTCGGCAGCCGCTGTTGCGGCCCCGCCGTTGCCGCCGTTGTGCGCCTACCCTGCCGCCGCCCGCCGAGCGCTTGCCCTGCTCGCCCAGCGAGCGCCTGCCCTTCCCGCCACTGGTGAGCACCTGCCCTACCCGCGCTTCCCGCGCGCCTGCCTTGTTAGCGCGCTGCCGCGCCATCTGCCTGCCTGCCTGCCTGCCGCGCTTGCCCTGGCCGCGGTGCTACTGCTGCTACTTCTGTTACTGCTGTTAGGCTGCTGTTGCTGCCACTGCTGCTACTGGCGTTGGCCAGATGCAGCTCCAGCGGCGTCCGCGCGAGTCTCTCACGCCCCAGCAGCTTCGTGAGTGGTACGCTAGTTGGGGTTGTGGCGGTAGCCGTCGTGGCTGTCGCCCTGGAGCTGGTCAGTCGGGAGCGTTTGGCAGTGGCCAGCTGCAGCTGCAGCGGCGTCCGCGCGAGACGCTTACGCCCCAGCAGCTTCGTGAGTGGTAAGCTCAGAG